TATTGCTTTTTTAAAAAAACCAACAATTTGTAATAGCCTGTGCTGTTGCAAGAACTACGTAGTTGCAGGGTATTTTCTTATAGCCACTACCTCTTTTCAGATATTGTCCTCTTCTGCCAGCATAGTATGGAGCGGTATTGCTCCAGATGCTGGTCACGTTCTTAATTCTTCTCCCCTTTCACAAGTGCTGCTTTGTAAGCAATAACTTTAAGCAATGCCATGATGTAGCAGGTTTTGTACCAAGAAGGTGTTGAGGATTCCTTGATGTTCTTACGTTAAGGATAGTAGAACCTGTGTCCACACACCGTCTGCTCTTTCCTTCCAGTTCTCATGAGCTGTATACACTGGTCAGAGTTACAAGAACTTCTGAATACCCACAGGTTCTCCACCTTCTCCTTAGCCTGACTTCCCAAACCTAGTACCCACCTAATTATTGGACTTTTGAGCTCAAAATTCCAGGTGGAGAGGACGGTCAAAAGCTACACATGCTATTGAGGGACTCTAGGGCAAAAGAGGGAAGGGACCCTCACTCTCAGGGAGCAGAATTGTTACTAGAGATTATTTCTTTACTTGATAACTTGGTAACCAATTGTTCCTCAGGATGTCTCATTCATTTATTTGATCCTTGCCCCCCAAAAAGTTGTCGAAAACAAGAAAGATTTGCTGTAATAACAGCAGCATTGCACAGAGAGGCGTCTGATTTAGAACGGTTTCCAGTGACATTACAATATCTAGTAATATCAATTAGAGATCCTTTATTATCGCAAAATGATACAGCTCAACTTTTAATTCAGAAAATACATTTTTGTATCTGAAGAGTTACCCCTCCCCCCCAAAAAAGAATAACAACTGGTAGGTTGGATAAAAAGCATCATTGGGGTGGATTTGGCAATGCTGCAAATTAAAGACTCTTGTAAGTTTTCTTCTCAGGTTATGTAAAGCTTGGATTTAGAGATTCAGCCTGAAAGTTTAGATTTGCCTCCGAAATTGAATCAACACACTTGAATCCAAAAGTCCCCATTGTTGAGTCAAAAGGTCTTTCAGAAACTCAAAACAGTTTGAGCAGTGGTGGGATTCAAATAATTTAACAACCGGTTCTCTGCCCTAATGACCAGCTGGGTAGGCATGGCCCGGTGGTCATGTGACCATGTGGGCGTAGCCAACTCAAAGTCACTCACATCAATGGGTGCTTTGCTTTAACTGTTACAATGTAATAATGGTTACCCAGAGAGGCGTTTCTGTAAGCAGGGCAATA